ATTCCCCTCTGGCTAAGGCGAATATAAACACTCCCTCTGTGAGAGGGCATCAGCTGAATTTGGTCCAGCTTTCCTTTCTGCTCTAACAGTATAGCACTGAATTCAAAGCCTTACAATTGCTGTGCTGTCCCTCCCTTAGTGCTTAGAGATGTTCTCTGCACCTGGCTATTGCTGGGGGGTAGGAAAGAGAGGTGGTAGGTTACACTGATGGTCCAAAACTGGTTTTCTCTACCTCTTCAATAACTCTTTCAGTCACATGATATTAAAACCAGGTACTGTGAGGGTGTACCTGATTTTTAGTTCTTTCAAGGTGCTTTTCTTGTGTAGATAGTTATTAGTTCGTGTCCTTGTGAAAGTAGGGTGGGAGGGGGGCACAGGGATCTGCCATCTTGCTCCACCTTCTCAATGCCATCTTTATTCACTCTCCAACAAATTTTTGCCTTGATTAGAACCTGGATTTTTTGAAAAGGTTAAATTATTATTTGACAGTCTCTTTCATATGGATATCAACTAGTTTGAGACAGAATATACAGAATGTAACTTTGGAAAGCAGAGATAATGTTCACTCTCATATGCTTAATATCTGGAGAGATGGCCATGTAAAGCTGTTCTTCAATATATAGGTCTTAAAGTACAAAAGAGAATCACAGGTAACCTACATTGTTTTAGTTGTAAAAAAAAGTAAGATAGGTATATTACATTAAACACAAACATAAATGGGATACATTTCATGGGTTTTAGTTTGTTCCGGGGATATTTCCACATAGTATTACTCTCTTTGTTACCATTTAAGATATTTAAACACTGTCTTGTGTTGAATTTTCATAGCTGTTATCCCTGGCTGTATAAGTATCTTAACTAATTTTATGAATAATAATGACTAGAGGAAACAGTCTCTGGAATACTTCTTTTCAAATGTTACTGTTTTTGTTTTGCCTATTAATTTTTTCACATTTTAAATGATTTCTTTCTTTCCCTATTTTAACCTTATCTTCTTCACATGCATTGAAATATTGAGCATGTCTGCTCTCTGAAAAACAGTTTTGTGAATCTCAAAATGAACATGTCACATAAAAGAAAATGCTGTATTTTTCTAAGTAAAGACATTATGACTCTACATTAAACACAGAGGTTTAATTTTAGAATGGCACAGAGAAGGTAATAGGGCCATTCTAAGGGTTCTCGTTGTCACCATGCAGTGTCTCTCACAAAAGCTACTCTAACTGTAATGCATTTTTGTCCCTATTAAGACATTCACCCTAAGCTAATGCTGCTGTTCTAAAAGAAAACAAAGCCTGAATAAATCAGCTAAAAATTGGATTTTTAAAAGCATTACTTTATCTGTATTTGTCTTCCAGTCTTTCTCAAATTTCTAAGCAATTGAATGACTTTCTACTTCATTTTAACTGTACACATCTGTCCTCTTTAGAGAACCTAAGTGCTCACCTACACTAGAAAGATGCCTTCTTGTTTCCTTTTTCACCCATTTAACATACATTTACTGAACTCTCTGGATCTCAAGGTTATTCATGGTGCTTCTTACCACATGGCATTTTCATAACATTAGCATCAAAATAATTTTTAAATGGGTGTTCTAATGTAATACTGGGTTCGGAATTTCATAATTGGTTTTTAAATATCACTGCAAGGGTGATAGATTTATTATGCATTTAGAATTCCAAAACACACAAACATTAGTAGACACCGACATTTTAAGGGGAAAAAATGTGCAATAAACCTTATTATAGACATTTTTCCTCATTAATTTTTTTCTCTCTGAGAAAAATAGAACAATGGCTCCAGCTCACAAAATATCAGTGGTTGGTTGGAGCTTAATTGAAACTTATAATTATTTTTTTCTTGTGTACCAAGAGTATCGAGATGAATGATACAGCCTCTGCCCTCAAAGAGCTCAGAGCCTTGTAGGAAAAACCTACAAATAGCAAAGCTCTAAGTCAGGAGGGAATTACAGGCCAAAGAAGATGGAACAGTGCTGGGCACCTTTCCCATATGCCAGGAGGGTCTGGAAAGATTTTTCTGGGGAATGTGCCTCTGCCAGGTGCTGGTGATACCAAAAAGGGTGAGATTGTTTAGGATGTCCGAGTCCAGTGAGAGAAGCCAACTTGTACATACATACAACTCAAAGTGGCAGATGCACAGTACTCTGTGTGAACACTGAGAGGGCCTATTTTTCTCCAAAGAGCAGAAGGAGAGGGTGATACACAGAATAGAAGTTCAACAAGTCCTTAGTCTGCTCTTCCACTTGGGGCTTCACTAGGACACTCCATTTCCTTCTGATTCTGGGAAACAGACTTCCCCTACACACCAATCACAATGCCTAGTAGGTGAGACCATCATTCACAACTCAGTGTGGCCTGAGCCAGTACTTCCCAGGTGTCAGTGCCTACATTAGTCACCTTACCTGTAACTCGGTATTGGTTGCCGCTGTTAACATGCAGATTCAGACACAGGAAGCCTCAGGTGAGGCTTGAGATCCTCATTCCTAACAACCTCCCAGAGGGTGGAATGCTGCCTGCTGGTCCAGGAACCACATTTTGAATGGCAAAACCCAAATTTTGACTTATGTTAAAATGGTTGTGTGATAATTACCAAATAAATCTATCACTCTTGCTTTGATATTTAAAAATCCATTATGAAATTCTGAAGGAATATCTTCAGCTATTTGTTGTAAATATGAAAACAGAAGTCAGCCCAGGAATAATAATAACATTAGGAACAATTGCTGTAATAGCGATTACAAGTTATTGACTGCTTTTCACTTGGCTTTTTGTTACAGTTGGTAATAAAAACTAGGAATAAATAGGGTTTGTTTTATTCCTTACAATTACTGACTGAAGTAAATATCATTTTCCCATTTTGCAAACAAAGGCAGAGGTTAAGTAACTAATTCAGTGCCACACAGCCAGTACAAGGGCGAACTTTGTCATTCAATTCCAGGTCTCTCTTACTCCAGAGCCAACACCCCCTAAAGAACATAGTCAAAAGAAGCAAATAGAAAGCTGATAGAAGTGCAGAATAATAAGAGTAAAAATTGTGACGTCCTGTGGCATAGAAATGGCTTAACCTTCTAGGGACAAAAACTAGCAGCTGAGCTACACAAGGTGCCCCTGTCAAATAGCTCTGTCAAATAATGCTTTTAAATGCAGCCAAAGATACACATGAGCCAAAACAAGGCAGCGGCTGGTGTCAATCTGATTCAGTACTTTCATAGGGGAAAGCACCAGAGCAACTATTTTATAGTCTTCATATATATATATATATATATATATATATATATATATATATAACTATTGTGAACATGAAGAGAGACTTGCTGACTTACCATCAAGTGACATGTTAGTCAAGATTATTTATCAAGTAGGAAAAGAAACTACATGGATATATTCACTGATAGAGCCAGATTCTGACCTCCGAAAGTATGGACCAGAACCATGTTCTTAGCAATTATTCACTCTAAAGGCACAAAGAATGTATTTCTTGAATTTCTGATCATTTTAATATAATCATAAAAATGGTGATTTTGAAAAAAAAATTGCTAACAAGCACATCCTTCCAGAAGTAGTGGTATTACTCCAGGACAACTCTTTTTAGATAAATGGGTCATGAACTAAGAAGTGACATTGAAAACTTGCTCAGTTATAGATACATGCTGGCTTTGCTGAAGCAGAGTAGTTATCAGAGACTTTAAATTGAGAAGTGAGTTGCTTTTCCTCACAGGGAAAATTCATCACAACTAAGAATAACTATCTGTACTTGGTGAATTTCTTCCTTGTCCACTCCAGTGCTAAAGCAGGCTTCACAAATTTGGCTTGTTTAGCAGATAAGTTTGTCAGCTCCACACTGAATCAGCGACTACATGGTAAAACTGAATGCTTTCAACAACCATGACAAGATGGCTACAATTATAATAAAGTTTGATTGTTGGATAACGAGTTGATTGTGGGTACTATGAGTCACTCGAGACTCAGTTCATTTACATGTGGTAAAAAGTACAGTGTCAATGGTGAAATAATAATCTAAACCATTAGTCTTTCTTCCTCACTGACTAAGCCTTTGTGTAGAACCCTGAGATAGGAAAATCCCAGCTAATGGATACAGAAACTTTACATCCCACCATATAAGTGAAATGATCTCACTGCAGGAATATACTGATGAAAATCTTCAACATTTGTAGCACTAAAACGTTGAACCATAGTAACTTTTTGGCGACATTATGAACAACTCTCCTCAGTGTCACCTTGAAAGAGCTACCACATACTGACCACTTACTATAATTGCAAAGATTTGTTCCAAGTATTTATGTGTCAAATTCAATCAGCCCTTATAGCAGAACAGATGTACTTATATGTTCTATAATTATCAATTATTATCTGCCAATGAGGAAACAATGATAAGAATAGGTAAAGTCAGGGGTCCCCAACCCCTGGGCCATTGACAGATATGAGTCTGCAGCCTCTTAGGCACTGTAATACATAGCAAGAAGTGAGCATCAGGCCAGCAAGCATTACCACCTGAGCTCTGCCTCCTGTCAAATCAGCAGTGGCTTTAGATTCCCAGAGGAGCACGAATCTTACTGTGAACTGCACATGTGAAGGGTCTAGGTTCCACACTCTTTATGAGAATCTAATGCCTGATGATCTGTCACTGTCTCCCAACACCCCCAGATGGGAGTGTCTGATTGCAGGAAAACAAGCTCAGAGCTTCCACTGACTCTACATTATGGTGAGTTGCATAATTATTTCATTATATATTACAATGTAATAATTGTAGAGATAATATACCCCATAAATGTAATGTGCTTGAATCATCCCAAAACCATCCCCCACTCCATCCAGGAAAAACTGTCTTCCATGAAACTGATCCCTAGTGCCAAAAAGGTTGGGGACTGCTGGGTTAAGTAACTAACCAAAAGTCATCCAGTTGATAGCAGAGGCAAAATTTGTACAGAGACAGCCTGACTGTAGAGCTTGTTTACTCACCATATTGTAATACAGCTTTGGAGTGGTGATACAGGAGACTGCCACGTGTATATCTGTAAGTTTTAATCCTAAAAATGTGGTGACTTCAAGAGTGAGATGAGAACTAATTCTGATACGCAGAGTCATTTCTGTTCCAATTCAACCTAATTTTCCAAAATTGATCTTACTGCAATCAGCATCTTGACCATTTAGAAAGATGGAGGAGCATTCTTTTTCTTCCAAAGTTAAGAATATGAAGCTTTTATTTTTATATTTATATGTGATAGATATAAAAAATACCCAGATTTTATGTGGATTTTAAGATAAAATATGAGTGTTTACATTGCAGCAGGTCATTCAGACTTCAATTTTCCTATCCTTTATGAGGGATACTTTGGGAAAGAATGAGGAGCACCGTTCAAACTTGACTCTGTGCTTTAGGCCCATAAGAATTGTATGTGAAACTTCCAAATCTCTGCCTTGAGAAAATAGATATTTTTAATAATCAGAGAAATTTGTTCTATTCATCAGCCTCAATAATTAATACTTATTTTAGATCTACAGTATACAGAGAACACTACTAAGATTCCAGGAAAATACACATGCACACTCCTTCCTCTTAAGAGTTTTACAGTCCTAAACTTTGTGCACTGGCAGTATCATAGCCAATAAGGTTTATCTGAGGCACAATTATTGCTAATTGAAAATGTTTCCCAATACTCTGCCATGACGACTTGAAGTATAGTTGACATTGGCAATTTTTGACAGTCTCTATGGAGACCGAATTATTAAAAAAAAAAGTTTTACAATCCTATTGGAAAACAATATCTAAACAAAAGGGTGAAGAATAATATTAGTCAATTCTCAAAGATTGACAATATAATCTAAAAGAATGTACAAATTGATAGAAATAGGGATTCACCATCTCACTCACTCTCAGCTGTATTCTGAAGAGAACAGTTAGCTTAGGCATCCCATATAAGGAATAGTGACCTCAGAACCAAGAGACATTTTCTATCTAATCATCTATGTAAACTTGAGGCCCCTGTAAATCAACCTCTTTTAAGGACTTGTTCACCAGTAACTTAAATGCTCAAGAATGCTTGGCCTGAGGCTCATCTTAGAGGTGAATTAATATCTTATCTATTGGTCAGACTTTCTATATATGGAAGCAAGGGTCTTTCTATTACTTCTATTTGTTCATCCATCTTCTAACATTTGGGATCTTACAAGTGAATGCATATCCTCTTATCCTCTTCTATGTGGCATCACCTCAGTGATTAGAAAATTATGATTCTGATTCTCTTTCTCTTCTTTAGAGGAAACACCTTTGTTCTAAAGGTAGTGTTCTTATGAGATGCTCATGAATTTTCGTTAACTCCTCCTTTAGTCTTCTGAACATATTTCAATGTATTTTTTAAATTGTCATGAATGTAAGTGAATCAGCCCAGAGAAGACCTATCACATCTTCTTTTAGAAAATAAGTTTCTATTAATGCATTCTAAATTCTCATTGACTATTTTAATATCACACTGTTGGTTAATACTGAATTTACTGTCCAATAAATTACCTAGACTTTTTCATATGCTCCTGTTAAACCATGTTTCTCCCATCCTAGCCTTAAAACAGTGTTTTTAGACCGATGTTCATATCTTTAAATTTATCTTTTTAGCATTATATTTTGTTTTATTTGGCTCATTGTTCAATCGATGAGATGGTTTTGATTGTAGCACCTGACTCTGGGGAAGGGAAAGAAGGAAGAGTAAAACTGTGGACAGCTAGAAGTAAGAGAGGAATTTTCCCTCATTTCTTGGAAGATGTAACTAATGCATGACAAAGAAATAACCTTTTCTCATTAGTACACCTGATTTATGTGTATTCCTTGTTAATAAATTTACCTAAGCTTTGAGGGGAAAACCAGTATGCTGGGGTCCATTAGTATTTATTTCATACCAGCTTTCCCAGCACCTCACCATAAGGACTAAAGTGTTTCTGTAGGTGACTGATGGGATGCCAGCTGTAAAACACTTTCCATCCTTGCTCAGCTAAAAAAGAAACGAAATGAAGTCCCAGTTTTGTGCACCAGTATGTCCTTCTTTGCAAAGAAAAGACCAGTTTCTCCTTTCCTGCTTTGTTCTTCTCCACCATGTGAAATCAAATGTTTTGACACTTTTCCTCCATAGGGAGGTAGGGCAGAGGAAAAAAGAATTGACCTCCGCATATTCAAAAGTATTTGAGAGTTTCAGTCCATAGTTATGGTTCACTTTACATAACTTTTCATTTTTTAAATTTATAACATTAAGAAAATGTATTTGGCTTAAAAATTAGAATTAGTGAACTCAAGGAAAAGAATTAAATAACAGACAGATTTTTCTCTTCTTTATTTACTGATAAACCTATGGCAATTCCCTTGGCACCAGTTTGCAGTGGTGCACAGGAAGTAAAAGCAAATAGGGGTTCCAGTATATGATCACCCAGATATGAGTGATACTCAAGGTGTGATTTATTGAGAGACAAAACTCCTCTCCAATTATGAACATGTAAAACCAAGTATTAGGCTGATGCAAAAGTAATTGTGATTTTTGCCACTTTTAATGACAACCAACCTAAGAAGTTATGTGCTTCCAAACTATAATAGTGGGACAGGTGTAGAATAGATATTCCCATTCCAGAAGAAAAGAAATAAGAAAGAAGAAAAGAGTGACAGCTTTTAAGTAAGTCCAAAACCTAGCAAGTCAAACTCCGTATCTCAGGGCTGAAGAATAATCCTCTTGTGCTTGATGCTGTGCATTCCAAGCCCACTGGGGCAGAGGTGCCATTTTCCAGACCCAGTAGAATTGAGGTATTTCTCTGTAGCTCTGCAAAGTGCTCAGTCCAGGTTTCTGCTGGTCAGGCACTAAACCTCCACAGCTCCTCCCAGTCCTACCCCTATGCCTTTGATTGGAGGTAATCTAACTTGTTGAAAATGAGGCAATTCTCCCCCCCACTTTGAAACATAGGAAGAAGTCATAATGATCTCTGAATCACTTTTTTGTGGTCATTCTTCTTTTGTCTTGAAGAATGGGTTATGTTTGCAGCTGAAAAGCTTTATAGTCTTCCCTGTAAAATAAAAAAAAAAAATCTGACAACCTTTCTTTATTCCTTCCCATATCCTTACTGTTCAGTTCAAACTGGCAGTTTTCCTGCAGAGGTAGCTAATTCAGTCCATGCTTTATACCATGCTAATCTTCTTAACAAATGTTGGCTTTGTAATACTCTTAGTGTTCTCTTTTAAACATGCTTTCTCATTTTGTGCAATATGGATTGGCTGAGAATTTTCCAAGCTCATGGGTTCCAGTTCCTTGTTCTTTGGTAAGTCCCTCTTCACATCATTTCTGACCCCTCACATTTTTCTAAATAGTCAGGAGGAACAAAGCCGAACGGCTTCAATACTTTGCTTAGAAATGTCCTCAGCTAAATATCCAACTTCATTGTTCACAAGTCCTAGCTTCCACAAAACACTAATAATATAAACACAATTCAGCCAAGTTGTTTGCTGCTTAATAACAAGGATTGCCTGTTCTTCATTGCATGAGATGGAGAAAAGGACAGTGAAATTTACAGTGTTAGTGAGGATAATAACATGTTTTCACTTCAGTCTGAGAATTCATCAAAATGGCCTTCACTATCCATATTTCTACTAACATTCGGCCCATGATTACATATGTATTCTTTCAGAAGATGGAAGCTTTCTCTACAGCTCTTCTCTTTTCCCTCTGAGCCCTAACCAAATCACCTTTAAAAGCCCCTTCATGACAATCTTGGCTTCTTCTAGATGTACTTCACAACTCTTTGTTAGTTCCAAAGCTGCTTTCACATTTTAGGTATTTGTTATAGCAGCACCCTACTTCTCATAACCAATTTCTGTCTTAGTTTGGTCTGCTATAATAAAATACCATATGTAGGGTGGCTTATCAAAAACAAACATTTATTTCTCACAGTTCTGGAGGCTGGAAAGCTCAAGATCAAGGTGGTGGCCTATCTGATGTCTGGTGAGGCCCTACTTCCTGGGTGTAGATGACTATCTTCTTTCCATGTCCTGACATGGAGAGAACAACCAGCTCTCTGGCCTCTTTCTATAAGGCCTCCCATTCATGAAGTCTCTGCTTTCATGACCTAATTATCTCTGAAAGGCCCCACCTCCAAATATCATTACATTCAGGATTACATTTCAGCATATGAATTTGAGGGGGACATAAACATTCAGTCCATAAACAGGTTCTTTCCAATTTAAGGTGTTAAATATACTGTAAGTAGTGTCCTCATATACAGGTTTGAGTTTCTCCAATGTATAAACATAAAAATGGAATTTGTCATTGGTTATGTGTATTGTTAACTACATGTAGTCAATATTGTTCCTCAAAGTGATTTCTCAATGTATATTACTACCATTAGTGTGAGGAGTTTTTAATTTACCTAAGTACTCTTCCAAAATTGATATTGTGTGACTTTTTAACTGTGAAACATTTAGATGTGAAATGCTTTTTTATTCACATTTATCCGATTAATAGTTCTGAGCATTTATTCATTTAATTTTGAGTATTTATATTTTCCTCTTGTATAAACCACCTGCACATTTGTTTGCTGTTTTCCAATTAGGTTTTTATATTGTTCAATTGCAGTGTTACTTATTATTATGGATAGTAGTCCTTTGCATCTTCCAGTAAGATTCTCTATTTTTATTTTATTTTTCGTTTCCTTATATGCTCAAAAGTTTTTATTAAATTAAACTATGTAAAAAATATTTTCCTTTTGAGCTTGGTCTCGTAGTAAGAAATCCTTTACTGCTCTGAAGCTATAGTCTACATTTTTATGACAGTTTTAGAACTTGTAACAAATTTTTAATTCATTTTTTGAGTTTATTTTTGCATGTATTGTCACTTGGAGGTGTAATTTTCTACACAGACGTACAAATATCTCAACACCATTTTTGAGTAGTCTGTCATTCCTGAATGATCCTCTAAGCCAGGATTGCATAAATGCCTGAGTGTGTCTCAGCTCTCTGAAAGTTTTATTATTTTGATCTACTTATCTGTTCCCATGCCATTGCCTAATTTTTTTTTTTTTTTTTTTTTTTGAGACGGAGTTTCGCTCTTGTTTCCCAGACTGGAGTGCGATGGCGTGATCTTGCCTCACCGCAATCTCCACCTCCTGGGTTCAGGCAATTCTCCTGCCTCAGTCACCTGAGCAGCTGGGATTACAGGCATGCGCCACCATGCCCAGCTAATTTTTTGTATCTTTAGTAGAGACGGGGTTTCACCATGTTGACCAGGATGGTCTCGATCTCTTGACCTCGTGATCCACCCTCCTCAGCCTCCCAAAGTGCTGGGATTACAGGCTTGAGCAACCGTGCCTGGCCTCCATTGCCTAATTAATATGATTCCATATTATTGACAGAACAAATACCCCCACTTATTTTTATTATCAGACAGACTTTGCCCTTCAGCCTTCCATATAAGTTTTAGAATTCATTTGTTAAATTCCACAAATTACCCAATTAGAATTTTTATTGCAATCACATTGAATTTATAAAATAATTTAGGAAAATCAAGATTTTAAAGATACTTGGTCTTCCCACTTGAGAAGATAACCTAACTCTGTATCCAAGTCTTGTTTTATGTTTTTGATAAAGTTTTGTATTATTTTTATAAAGTTCTTGCACAACTAAGTTTTGTTAGAAATCTTACCAGTTACTTTTTGGTTTTGCTATTGATTTGTACTATGCCTTTATTTCTCTTATATATTTGAATTTAATATTGCTAGTATATTAGAAGCATTTGATATTTTAAAACTTAACCTGGCATCCCTCTTGAACTGCTGCTAAAACTTATCTTCCTAATCTCTTGAAATTTTTATGTAAATAACCAAATCATTTGTAAATAGTAAAATTTGTATTTTCTTTTCCAATTTTTTTTTTAATTTTGTTACATCAGCTGCAGAGTTAACAATTTTGAATGTTGGGTATATTGACTTTATTGTTTTCTTCTTATCATTAATAGGAATACTGTAAAATCCACCATTCTACAAATATTTGTGTACCCAGTATGTTCCAAGCATTGTTAGAACAATGAACAAAACAGACAAAAGTGTCTACCTTCATCAAATTTATTGGCTACATGGTTAGACAAACAAACAGGTAAAACTCGTAGTATGACTAATGATGATATATGGAAACAAATTAAATAGGAAATGACAACAGGTCATGCTGGGGATGAGATGAGGGAGTTCATTTTCAAATAAGATGGTCATGAAGGGGCGGGCGCGGTGGCTCAAGCCTGTAATCTCAGCATTTTGGGAGGACAAAGCAGGCAGATCACGAGGTCAAGAGATCGAGAACATCCTGGCCAACATGGTGAAACCCTGTCTCTACTAAATGTAAAAATTAGCTGGGTGTGATGGCGTGTGTCTGTAATCTCAGCTACTCGGGAGGCTGAGGCAGGAGAATTGCTTGAACCTGGGAGGCGGAGGTTGCAGTGAGCCGAGATCGCACCACTGCACTCCAGCCTGGTGCCTGGCGACACAGCAAGACTGTGTCTCAAAGAAAAAAAAGATGGTAAGCCACTGGAGGATTTGGATTGGATTTGAATGGAAGAGTCTTTGCTGAAATTATCTGACTTACATTTGAAAGGCTCATGCGGGCTGCTGTCTTGAGAATAGAGTAAAATGGAATAGGAATAGAAGGAGATAGAAAGTGGTAAAAACAGAAGATGGGTAGGGGATACCAGTTAAGAAGTCTCACATTTGCTGATCTGCTAATGTGACATCTGGATGAAATAGAGGAGTCAAGCATGAGTTCAGGATTTTTTTTTTAGTGTAAATAATGAGAAGGATGAGGCTTTTCATTCACTAAAATTGGGGAAACTGTGGAAAGAACATGTTTTTGGGAAAAGAGAATGAGGGCAGATTACAGCAAGTTAAGTTTGAGAAAGCCAAGTAAAGATGTAGAGTAGCTAGTTGGATATATACATCCTGAATACAGGAAAATTATGTGCATTGGATATGTAAATTTGAGAATTTTGTACAGAAAATTGGTAGACCCAATGAAGTCTCAATAAGTTGATCAAAGAAGTGATAGAGAGCTGTGTCCAGTGGCTGACACCTGTAATCCTAGCACTCTGGGAGGCTGAAGCAGGCAGATCACCAGGTCAAGAGATTGAGACCATCCTGACCCACATGGTGAAACCCCATCTCTACAAAGAAAAATAAAAATAAATAAATAAGTTAAAAGAAAAAATTTAAAAAAGAAGTGATAGAGAAGAAGGACAGAATACTTTGGCCATTCAAAATTTGGAAGCGAGAAAGGTGAAAAGGAAACAAAAAAGCAGACTGCAAAGAAGTGATGAGAAAGCAGACTGGTGAGTGTGCTGCCCAGGAGGCAAGAGAATAAAGTATTTCAAAAAGGGTGGAGTTACCACTGAGTCTTCCTTAGTCAATCTGGACTACTATAGACAAAGTGTCATAGTTGGGTAGCTTAAAAACAATGTAAATTTCTTTCTCAGTTTTGGTGGCTGGAAAGTCCAAGATCAAGGTGGTATCTTATTTGCTGTCTGGTGAGGGCCTGCTTCCTGGTTGTAGAAGGTTGTCTTTCTATATCCTCATATGGTGGGGAAAGCAATCCAGTTCTCTGGTCTCTTTTTATAAGGGCACTAATCCCTTTCATGAGGGCTCAGCCCTCATGAGCTGATGACCTCCCAAAGGCCCCAGCTTTTATTACCATCACAATGGGGATCTGGAGTTCAACAAATAGATTTTGGAGGGGCAAATTTATTCCATTGCACTGTAAAATGTTGGCCCAGAAGGAGATGGCAACATAACTCTTGCACTTAATAATACAGGGACATGTGATGTCTGCAAAATCTATTTTAGTAGAGGGTTAGGGCAACCCACCCATTTTCCTAATATTGATGTAGTCTTAAATTTCATTCTTGAATGTATCTAAACAGAGAAACATGGGTTTTTGTTAGCCAGGTCAAGTGTTCAGCATCCTATTTGACCAATTTCAGTTACTGTTTCTTACATTCTATTCCTTTCCTCTAATTTTGCTTTCTTCTGATTGAAGTAGATTCCAGCAAATATTTGAGTAATCAACTCAGTGAGTTTATTAGAAATAATCTTCACTCTTGAATTTTCATTTAGCTGCATATAAAACTGTAGGATGATTATTATCCCTCAGCACTTGGAACACATTACTCCATTGTCCATCTTCTTCAGCATCTAATATATTGCTCATGGGAAGTCTACAGTCAATCAGATTAAAGTATAACTTCTGTGTGGGTAATTCAGCTTTTCTCTTTATCTTCTAGGCACTTTTTTACAATTTTGTGTATAAGTGTAGATTTATTTTGACTTTTACTCATCCTACTCAGCATGTGGTACTCTCCTTTATGTGAGGCTTTGTTCTATTTTGTTTTCTTCCAGTTCTAGGGAGATTTTGGCCAATTTTCTTTAAGATATTATAACTTTCCTGGGCCGGGTGCAGTGGCTCACACCCATAATCCCAGCACTTTGGGAGGCCAAGGTGGGCGGATCACCTAAGGTCAGGAGTTTGAGACCAGCCTGACCAGCATGGAAAAACCCTGTCTCTACTAAGAATACAAAAAAAATTATGGGGGCATGGTGGCGCATGTTTGTAATCCCAGCTACTGGGGAGGCTGAGGCAGGAGAATTGCTAGAACCTTGGAGGCAGAGGTTGCAGTGAGCCAAGAACATACCATTAGAATAGAGTAAAACTCTGTCTTTAAAAAAAATAAAATAAAAATTATGAATTTCCTGACAATCTGTTATTTCTCCCCTTATGAAGAAAAGCTTATTGGGTGTACATTGGAGCCTTACGATGTTACTGGTCTGCTTATCTCAATGCTCTTTTCCTGTTTTAGCTTTTTATCACCCTTTGCTGAATTCTGAGTATATTCCTTGGCACCATCTTTGGGATTCTTTTGGAAAGAGATGAGTATGTGTAAATCTTTTAATAGCTATGTGTGTTTGTTTTTACATTTCCATTATGTCTTTTTTTATTTCATATTTGTCAATTTTTGTCTTATAATTTATTTGATTTTATTGTTTATTTTTAATTGACAATAATTATACATATTCCTGGGGTACATAATAATGTTCCAGGAAATAAAATGTATAGTGATAAGGTGAGGGTAATTAGCATAGTCATCATCTCAAACATTTATCATTTCTCTGTTAGGAATTTTCAATATCCTCCTTCCAGTGTTTGAAACTAGATATTATTGTTAACTTTAGTCATCCAATAGTGATGTAGAACACTAGAACTTGTTCCTCCTAACTGCCATTTTATATCCCTTAATAAATTTCTTCATATCTCTCCCTTACTCCTACCTTTCCCAGCCTCTAATATGCTGTGTCCTTCTTTTTACTTCTATGAAATCACTGTTTTTTAAACTTCTACATGTGAGTGAGAATGTATGGTGTTTAACTTTCTGCTCCTGGCTTATTTCACTTAATATAATGTCTTCCCGTTACATCCATGTTGCTGTGTCAGGATTTCATTCTTTTTAATGGCTAAATAGTATCCCACGATGTACATACACCGCATTTTCTTTATTCGATAATCTGTTTTTGGACACCTTGGTTGATTCCATATCGTGGCTATTGTGAATAGTACTACAATAAACATGGAGGTGCGAGTATTCAAAGGGCATCTCTCCCTTACTGGAAGTCAGATATGTTTTATAATTTCTTGTTCTACCATTTAAATTGTATTCTTTCCTTTATCACATTGTTTATCTTAAATATAGGTTTGTTAAACTAATTTTAGGTGATTCTGTTATTAGCATTTGACTAGAAATATATTCATCTCCTAATTGTTGAGTTGGTTATCCGTTTTCTGGTGTTAATACAGATTTTTGCTTTCAGGTAACACATTGAATGAGAGATGTATTTCTTACTGTCACCTACTCTTCATAATGTAATGCACTGCATTTGTTTCCACTAATCCTTCAAGACTTTTAGTCTTGAAGCAGCTCTTTTATCAGTATCTCGGGATTCCCTCCCATCTGGCAGTGGTTTTGGAAAATTCCCTGACCCAGTCACTGCACAAATAACCTGGTTGACTGAAGTCTAATCTGGATGGCTTTCTCTGCATCCTACCCTTTCTTTAGCTAGGCAGTGCTGAATAGTAGAGATTATATTTTTCAATACCTTTTTATGAATGGCACAACCACAGCCCCTTATTTTATGCAGGCAACCTGGAACCGGTCTCCCACTCCTCCTAGGGGAGCATCTGACACCTCACTGGAGTGTGGGACCTTTGCTCCTTTCTGTTTCAATACCTGAATTCCAGAATGACTGTGGCTTTAGACTCCATTTACCTACTGCTGTGCTTTTCTGTTCTGTTTCTGGTCAAAATATATGTTTATCTAGTTTTCAAGAACATAGTATTTTTTAAGTGTTTATCTTTGTATTCAGAACTGAAAATAACATTTTAAAAGAATGAGCTCATAATGCCAAAATAACCTGAAGCACTTTATAGCTTTAATAAGTACTGCTCTCAGCCACACGTTTGACAATATATGTATGATTTATATACATTGAATTTTTATGAAAAACATCATTCAGTAGATTGCATTCCTTTTCTAAGAGTTTGTGCTAAATGTGATATTATTCTAATACAAAACTTTTTATTTTAATCTTCAACACAGTCTTAGATCGGATTGGTCCTATAAATAGGTGGCAACTCATTTGGCCTTATTTGTAAGATCACAGAACATTCTTTATCCCAATATTTATTTTATCTGCCATGATATGTAAATTCCACCAGAGTAGTTCCCCTGAATTTGATAACTTTTTATTTTCCCCTAAGTCTTCATGAAATAAAAATAAATGTGGGGGATGGAGGAAGAGAAGCTGATGTCTCTGCAACACTGACACCTAACAGAAAATAAGGCCCTTTGGTAATGTTATTAAGATCAGGCCCCTGGAGGATGAGTCAAAAGTGCCAAAAAGGATATTGAGTGTTTCAAAGGAAGTGAGAGGGCACCAAGAATAAACTTGATCTTCCTCTTAATCTTATTTAGTTAGAAACCATGCAACAACCATTTATAAAGCTCAATTTACCTTACTGTAAACATCAGTGGAAAAACGAGTTGCATACACCCTCTATCATCACTGAACGGTAAAAGGCAGATTTAATCATACTTGAGTAAAGAAGAAAGTTAAAAATAAAATTTCAAACGTTATCATATTTACTTTATCAACAATCTTGATTATGTGGCAACTTTATTGCTATAATTATATGTAGCAGATCATGGTAGACGTTCCTCCCCAAAGTTTTTAGTATATTCTTCTGAAAAGTTTTCCTGAGAATTTTCAGTTTGACTTCTCAAGCTTCCTTGTTTTACCTTTTCTTAAATTATCTCCCTCCTTCCTTAGTGAAATGAGCCTTGCTTCAGCATAGGCAACTTATTCTTACTGCTTTCTTCATACCCAATGTTTTTTTCTCTCTTTCAGCCAACTGGGTCCTGAAGTAGCTGAAATGCGAAAAAGGCAGCAGTCCCAAAATGAAGGAACACCTGCTGTGTCTCAAGCGCCTGGAAACCAGAGGCCCAACAACACCTGTTGCTTTTGTTGGTGCTGTTGTTGCAGCTGCTCCTGGTATGTCATGTTACCTGTAGGATGTCACACCCAGGCTTGGCAGGCGCTAGCGTGAACATGTATGCCAAATCTGAGAACTGTAGAAACTTCTCAACATGTCTTTTATTGTTCTTTCTTTGCAAGTAGGACTTACTGAAGACTATCATTGGTTTAATGCAAACACTTCACAAAGAAAAATATATAATATTTCCCTAAAATCTATATTTAAATTGATCATGGGTAAAAAAATGAAGAAGTGTTTTAGATCATGTTTTTCTCTATCCATGCTTCTTAAAGATGTGGGTAAAAATAAGATTTTAGTTATATATGTATTTATCAATAAGCAATATTCCAATGTTACAGATAGTTAAAAACATTAATAAAAAAATATTAGTAATATTGCATGTAGTATTGAATGTGGGTTTTTTTTTTAGTTATCTGCTGTTATTTGATAGAGTGTTGAGCATTCAGCTGCATGACCAGATAACTGTAAGTCAGGGTGGCAACCTCTGCCCAGAATTCTTGCCAATAAAGACAGAGAGAAAAGAGTCACGGACTCACAACCACCTATCAAAAAGGTCAGTGGCTGTGCTTTCAATGAAGGCCAACTCTGTCCATTGAAAAATCCTGAATTAAAGCCAGAGAACATACTTCCATTGGAGTGTTATCACTGGCAGGCTCTGGGACATCATGCAAACTCATTATAATCTCTTTGTTCTTTGATTTCCTCATTGGCAAAATGATGAAGAATTAGAGAAGCTAATCCCCAAGGTGCCATCTAGTGCCAAACCTCCATGATCCAGGGAACTCAGAGAACCTGCTTAAGTTCCAGATTCACAAAGTGCCTAACATTTATGCAGATGAGATTCTTCAAGGGGATGCTAGACTTTATGGAACTTTCCTTTGAACCATACATTTTGAGGTCTTTTAAAATTCAGATAAGAAGTGGGTCTTCTAGCCCAGCATTGAGTGATCTTCTGGATCACCCCAGACTAATTCAGAACCTAAAGAAAGGCCCATATGTTTGAGCCATCACTCTGTGTTTTATGTCTACATTTCCCCAACATATATTGAGGTTTTTTTTTTTTATTACAGTGGCAAAATGTTATATCATTGTGGCTAAAATAGAAGGTAAAAAGAGCTGTGCTAGAGTGGTACCCTTGGTGATGGAGAAGCTCCATCCACTCTAGAAAACTCCAGTTCCAGAAAACCATCAGATATTGCAGTAATTTGGAAAGCTTAAGTACTTTTATAAATATCAATATTTCTTCCCAGATGATGATTCTTTGTTAGAGAAAGTCATACTGTATTAGTCTGTTTTCATACAGCTATAAAGAAGTACCTGAGACTGGGTAATTTATAAAGAAAAAGAGTTTTAATGGGCTCACAGTTCCACAGGGCTGGGGAGGCCTCACAATCATGTCAGAAGGCAAAAGGAGAAGCAAAGGCACATCTTACACGGTGGAAGGCAAGAGTGTGTATGGAGGGGAACTGCCCTTTATAAAACCATCAGATCTCATGAGGTTTATTCCCTGTCAAGAGAACAGCATGGGAAAAAAAAATCACCATGATTCAGTTACCCCCCCCACCATGTCCCTCCCAAGACATGTGGGGATTATGAGAGCTACAATTCAAGATGAGATTTGGGTGGGGACACAGCCAAACCATATCACATACATAATTTGTTTTCTTTTACTCTTAAACCTTAATAATTTAAGATGGAGGAAACAGAGTTTGAGATGAAGTAAATATTTCAATCATAGTTGTGTAATCATTTTCTGTATCATGCCTTAAGAGATTATCTAGCTCAGATCTTAATCCATGAAGTATCATGGAGTGACTTACTATACTGGTTCTGAAGTCAGATTGCCCGGGTTCAAATCTTGTTCTCACCCATCTTTATCTGTGTGACCTTCAGCAAGTTAGGTAAATGCTGGTAATAAAAATCCCTGTCTCATAAGATTGTTGTAAAATTAAATGAGATAAAATATAACAAGCTGAGAACAGTGTCTGACATATAGTAAGCATTTAATAAGAGTTAGCTCTCTGGGCTATGGGACACTTCGTATTGGAAAAATAAGATCACTTTAAAGGGGAACTGACTTTAAATAATATTTAAAAAAAGATGTTTGTAGCTATAACACAAAAATTATCTTGGAAAAGAAAGTTATTTTATTTTAAATTCTGTATAAAACATCACCAATATATTGTTACACATGGTTGAGGAATATACTTCTTGTGCTCATTTGCACTATACAAGTTTCTTGTAATCAGTAAAAGGTTTTCTTTAGCTTCCAAAACTTACTGCTGAACTGCTTTTGGATTAAAACACCAGAACAGATAGAATACTGATACTATATGTATTAGCTGCCATATAGGTATTGAGTGAGTTTTGCTTTGATCAATTTTTAAAGGATATATTAAATAACAAAACATTTAACATTGGCACATAAGCATGAGATTGTTGCAGTACACAGACAATGGATGGAGAACAAAACAGCTTTTGGAAGCTGCAACCACTCTCTACACCTCTAGAGTGGATCCCCAAACACTGGGTACATTGGGTGCATTGGCTGCACTGGCTGCATGCTCTGTTAGCTCTAGACTAGCACACTCTTGTCAGGAACTGCATTTGTTATCAATTGGATGCCTGAGTCTAGGCCATAAGATGTACAGTGTATAAATTTACAAGTCCTTCTATATATGAAAAATGGTGGATAATTTATAATTATTATAAACCACCTTATTTTTATTATTTTTTTTTAGTGGAGTCAGCATCTTGGTATGTTGTTCAGGCTGGTCTTGAACTCCTGGGCTCAAGCAATCCTCATGCCTCAGCCTCTCAAAGTGCTGGGATTACAGGCATGAGCCACTGTGCTTGGCCACTTAATTTTTTAAAAAGGATAAAAGTTAAAATTCCTTAAACTCTTAATTTTAATTATGATTACATTGTCTTATTTCAAATGAAAATGTCCTTCACCCATATGTTTTTAAAATATCATTATTTTTGGACTTCAAATTTAGAAAAAAAAAATTGTAAAGGCTTTTTGGAGTGAACATAAAAAGAAATGAATGTCCTTCAGATTTTCCAGGCTAGGTCAAAGGAGCAGAACAAAAAGAAACACTAAAACTGTAATTTAAGGACTAAAAAAAAGTTAGAAATCAAAATATGAAGTAACTGTCATTCGTGAATGGGAGCAGTTGTCGTGTGGCTGAATTTACTTCCTTTTAAGGAAATAGAGTGGTAGGAAAATAAATTTCCATAGCTTCACGTTATGGGTTTTATAAATCATGTAATATTTCCCTCAAATTTGCACTTCTAATTCATATTTCATTGTCAGCTCTTCTCTCATTTTTAAATTGATTCCTGTCTTTATAACATTACCACCACATTTTTGGGGGGAAGGACACAGAGGGTGAGTACATAACTGCTGAATGTTTCCACAGTTTCTTTCAAAATTCTAAACTGTTTAGAAGACTTCATAGTGACTTAAGCTGATTCATTCTCTAGTTCTGTCATAGAGGCACTTTCTCCCCAACATCAGCCTCTCTCCTTATCTCCCTTTTCTCCTCATAGCCCTTGCAATAAAAGAAGAGAACACAGGAGGATGAGGTTTAGAACCATTAATAGCCTTAAACACACAAGCAATGGATGCCCAAATCCAGAGCATAAAATAGGCAATCTGTAAACATGCAAGACCTTCTATTCATGGTCAAACAGCTTTTGGAAGCTGCATCAACTCTCTATACCTCTAGAGTGTATGGGGAAAAGAAAAATCTCATGATTAAATTACCTCCTACCACGTCCCTCCCATGACACATGGGGATTAAGCTAGGGTGAAGAGACCATTTTGTCAAGACTATTTGTCTACAGGTTCAAGGTTGACACTGTCAAGTGGAATGCTTGCTTCTTCAGATAGTAACTTTCTTCCCTTTTCTTTTTTCTCTGGGACGGAGTTCGCTCATTACCCAGGCTGGGGTGCAATGGCGCAATCTCGGCTCACTGCAACCTCCACCTCCTGGGTTCAAGCAATTCTCCTGCTTCACCCTCCCGAGTCGCTGGGACTACAGGTGACCACCACCATGCCCAGCTAATTTTTGTATTTTTAGTAGAGACAGGGTTTCACCTTGTTGACCAGGATGGTCTTGATCTCTTGACCTCGTGATCCGCCCACCTCGGCCTCCCAAAGTGCTGGGATTATAGGAGGCCTGAGCAACCACGCCCGGCCCTTCCCTTTTCTTTAGGAGAAAGAAATCTTTGAAAGATACTGAAGGCTCCTCTCAAACTGCCTTCAGTCAGGACAGCATGAAGCAGTGAAGTTGTTCCGATACTCACATGTGAGATAACACATATAAAAGTGCAGTGCAGACTAGAAACTGCTCTGTGCTTAAAAAAAGGAGGAGCATCAAAATGGCCATAGGAAAGGTAGAGCTTTCAAATTTTATTTCGAGCTTAAAGCTCATTTTCAAATTTTCCTATGAACTCTCTTGTAACATCATTCAGAGGCTACATTAAAATAATCCAGGTTACTTTTTCACATATAATTTTCAGGTACTAATTAATCCCTTTTAATACTGGATGCTTCTGTGGGTGTCCCATCAAGCAAAACAGGGTTCTCTGTGTGTTTTGCCTTAAAAAATTCAAACTCCCCAGCCAGGCACAGTGGCTGTAATCCCAGGACTTCGGGAGGCCGAAGCAGGTGGATCACAAGGTCAGAAGTTCAAGACCATCCTGGCCAATTTCACTCTGTCTCTACTAAAAATATAAAAAATTAGTTGTGTGTGGTGGTGCACACCTGTAGTCCCAGCTACTTGGGAGGCTGAGGCAGGAGAATCGCTTGAACCCAGGAAATGGAGGTTGCAGTGAGTTGAGATCTCACCACTGCACTCCAGTCTGGGAGACAGAACAAAACTCCATCTTAAAAAAAAAAAAAATTAGAACTCCAGAAACCTCAGCTACCATGTCAAAATATTTACGTTTCCCTCTGCTTGGCACATCATGGTGGTGAAATGACGGGCTG